GGGGGAAATTACCAATTTTCTTTTGGCAGCAGTTATATAAAGTTTCATTTTAAGTGTATTTGTAAAAAAGCTGATATAAAAAACTTAAGTAATAATGGAACAGATGGTATGAAGACAGGGCAAATTGTGAGGATGGCATGTGAATGACTGAAGTTTGGGAATAAAAGGAGCTAGCACCCAGCTGAAGTTGGGGCACGTGACTTCATCCACTTCTCCTGCCAGGCCTGTCTCTACGCCCCACGCACATGGGCCTGGTACCATTGATGCTGTGGGTCTGCCCAACCCCTGACCTCAGCCCTTCAGCCAAATCCTCTCTATGATCCAGGAGGATGCTCTACCCACCACCCTCCACAGGGGAGCTGCCTTTCACAGCCATGGGTCTCTCTGCTCTGAACACCTAACCCTGCTTTAAATATCTTCTAATTATTTCTTGGCTCGTGTTTTGGCTCCTAAGCCAGATGTGAAGTTCATTGCTGGTAGGAATCCCATCTGTAACTTCCTCCCCCGCCTCCCCCCACCCCTGTAAGGCACAGGGAAGGGCCTGGAGATCTGGGTATTGTGTGTCACCTCTGTAAGTAAGTGCCATAAGTGCCAGTCACCTACTTAATTTCGAGTCAAATTAATGACCTGCTAATGACTTCCCTGTTTCTGTGAGGGGCACAGTCAGTAACACAAGGCTTAGGTATCTATAAACCATCCGTTTCCTCCGTGTGTTTCTAAGTGAGGCTCCAGGAGATTATCTCTGTAAAGCTCCTGCTCTCCAAGTCCAAGTCCAAGGTCGTATTACTTCCATGCTGAAAAGATACTTGGGCCTAGATCTCCAGACTTGGGGTCCCTCATCCTTAACACTCACAGGCAGCAAGTGAAATCAACAGACTTGAGTATTGAGTATAATATGGGTGTGGGGTAGGTGTCATTTAATTTTCACAACTTTAAAAAACAGAAATTTTGAACTTGGTGGGGCAGAATAACATTCTCTAGCAAAAACAGAACAGGAATCCTGGATGGTGAACAGCTTCACGGAGCTCCAGGAATAGCAGGGACAGGCTGTTCTGTGCACGTGGTTCCTGAATCAGTGTTTCTGACACCCAGCAACGTTAACTTTGCATCTTAATCCAGGCTGAGGCACTCTCAGCAGCCCTTAAAGCATCACCTCCCCAAAAATTCACTCTAAGTACTGTAGGTTTTCTGTGTGTGTTTTGTTTTCTTTTAAATCCTGGGTACCACTCCAGGTACTGTAGGTTTTCTGGCTTTTATTAAGTCCTGGTTACCACAAATTACACCTACCAGCTACCCAATTATATTATTTTCTTCTGTCTAATGTAATTTTTCTGTTTCTTGCTATTTGTTTGTTTGTTTGTTTATAATGGAGGTACTGGGGATTGAACCCAGTACCTTGTGCATGCTAAGCATGCACTCTACCACTGAGCTCTACCCTCTCCCCTTCTATTTCTTTATATAAAGGACTTTGGCTATTTTTTAAAAATTATCCTCCCTCCTGTATTAACCTGGCTTTTATTTGTGTTTTAATAATCAAAGGAGCTAAGAACAAGAATGAGGCAGTGGTTCTAGTAACCAGATGTAAAAATTTTCCTCCACAGGTATCAGTTAAAATGGCAAATTGTTCTGTAGTGGGTACAAGGTTGTGGAGGATGGTGCGGAGCCGAGGAGGGAGGGCTTATCCTGAAAGCTAGTTGTCCACTGAACAAGGCTCATCTGTGGATGCAACCACATGCCATTCCTGACTGCCCCCTCACATCTTAGTCATTCATTTATGCAACAAGCAACTATTATGTAGGTATAGGGGACGGTTGGACAAGTCTGGCAAGAGCCTCGCCCTCAGGAGCTTACAGTCGAGTGCAAGCCAAACATAAAGTAGATGATTTCAGTAATTCATTCATTCCACAGATAATTACTGATTATTTCATTTTTCAATAAATAGCCATTGAGCTTTTACACAAGGTACTGAGAATCAATACGAGCAACACAGGTACGATCCTTGCCCTTAAGGGCTTCCAATTCGAGAGGAAGTTAAACAAATACACAAGATGATCTCAGTGAGTGAAAAGTACCAAGAAAAATGCAACAGGAAATTGTGACGAACGAACTAGGGATTGGAGAATCTGCTGAGGAAGGGTGATGAAAGAAAGGCTCTCTAGGCAGTGACATCTGAGCTAAGACACATCCCATAAACACAGGACTAGGAAGCTTTCCGCCTGTTCCATCGCGCACTCATGCTTCCTAATTGCACCCTCCACTGGGCACTACTCAAACCTGATGTGAGCCTCTGCGTGTCCACTCTGTATCTTCTCCCCACCGAGCGTCCACGTCTCTGCGCGGGCAAGTGGAATGCGCCCAGGGCTGATTACCTGGTTGGTTGGTTGGCTGGTTAGCTGGCTGACTGGTTGCCTTTGGACCCTCCACATTCTGAGCTGAGACAGGAGGTAGCCGGAATTTTCTAATGGGGCGCCATGAACATTTTCTCTAGAGAACACCGACCACCACCGGGACTGTCGGTGTAAGCGGGCAGACTGCATCCGGCAACAGGCCTCGTAACTCAAGGCGAGCGTGAGCCGGCCGGGAGCGAGGAGACAAGGCGAGGCGCCCAGCGAGCCCAGGAACCGGCTGAACCCGGCCCAACTCTGCCCAGAGCTCCGCGCTCCGGCCGACGCCCACGAGGGGGCGGACCGCAGGCCCGGTGCCGC